CGCTCAATTGCTCAGTATATCATGCCAATCGTTCTTGCTTTTCAGGATAACTGACGAATATACTGTACAAATAAGAAACTCTTACGAAAAGGTACCTGTTGGATGCTCTTCCCATGTATATCTTGTTTGTTATTCCAAGTCTACATTACAGGTTCCTCTAGCAGATCGTGAAGAAGTTTTGGCAAGAGTTGTTTCTCATATTCCTCGTAGTATGCATCCTTATTATACGGTATCTACCCTGAAAGAATTAGAGGGAGTGGAAGAGTTGGTGGCGGCCTGTTCTAGCAGTCTGGTGAGGTTGTTAAGCTTCGTTCCTTACAATTTGTTTGTATCACTCGCTTCACGATGTTCTTTTCAAGTTGGCACAATTGCTTCCAAATTTTCGAATCTTATGCTATAGAGTTTATTGCTTTCATTAATCTTTTCCCAGGTAATGTAATTTATATTGGGTTCAGACTGACTACAAGATTCGAATGATCGATGTCGAAAACGCTGTCAGAAAAAGAACAGCGGCAGTTCAGCATGATAAAGAATGAGATGAATAATTATATTTATATCTCGATTTTCATTGTTTACTCATATTGATCAGAACTTCTTTCCAGTTGTTTGTGCTTTCTTCACATATGTTGATTTCTGTATTCGTGTACTTGCTCTAAGATCAAGCAGTAGTTTTGCGAGAACTCATGTTTAGTGTTAGCGTCTTCCTTGTAAACTGAAAATGTGGAGAATTTTTTTTATTTTCTTAATCATAATCTTTGACAATTGGACCTGAAGTATGTTTCTTGATTACTTGCTGTAGTGTAAGTAATTAGAAGTTTTGAATCTTATTTACTTCTGTGCTAACGGGTTTTTTTCCATGTCTCTTTTTCTCATTGCAAACATTGTGTATACAAATCTGAAATTCTCAAAGTTCACGCTAATCTAAATAAATGAAGTGCGTAATAATTCTTAGGTAGTTTCTTTCCATCTCTATGTTTTTATGTTTGCTTTTCAAGTTCATTTGAAGAATAAAGTCTTATTCTAGTTGATTTTCTACGGTTTTTTGTGCACTATAGTTCCTTAATAGTTTTTATGTACGGTTGCTGGATGGGTTCGTGCCTTTTTTCTCGAATTCAAGATATCCAAAGAGATCAAATGTTTCGGCGACATATAGAGGTAATATTAGAAGAAAGTCTCTCTTTACAAGATAGCGGGCATGTTATCTACTTTATTTGAGTCGTTCAGAAATGATTGAAATAAGTTAGCGGGTGGACAGAAAATCCAGCACCTTTTTCCTAGGAACCTGGAAACTCGGAGTGACGCATTGCTGTTGGAAAATGACTTGTAGATTACTAGAGCCGGGCGCATTCTGTACCCTAGTGTAGATTTATTAGATATGCGATTGGAGGGTCAAATGCAAATTTGCCGCCTAAAGTGTTGTCCAGTAAGCTCAATTGACATCCAATCTCTAAAGTTATTCCATTCCGGCCGATAGAGCCGTTTCGCACCGTAGGCATGGTTATCTGGACTCTTCTGGAAGAATTAGATTACCCTTTTATCG